AGCTAGCTAGCTAGCTAGCTCAGTGTTCCTGGTACCAGTGTGTTTAGTGATTGCTGAACCGGACTGCTGGTTTCAGGGAGGCACCTGTCCTCACGTGTCGCCGTGCTGATTTAAATTAGTCATGTTTAAAACGAAGCTACTGGTTTATTTTTTCGCATAAAAACTTTAAACGTTTTTTTTTTTGTCTCTTTCTACAGAGGAAGACGGAGCTGCTGCTCAGGGCGAGAAGAGGAAGAGAGACGCAGACGACGAAGGCGATGACGACGACGATGAATAGAGGGAACAACTGGCCCCGCCCTTACCTGCTGACCCCTCCACCATATTTGGCCATTGCCTCAGAGATGCAGACGATCAGGAAGTCCTGGGATCAGGTTTACAGCAGGGCTGATGAAGTCTTTACCATGGCAACCTGACAGGAAGCTGTGAAGGTGACCTCCAGTCTGAGTCAACTATATGAAAAAAAAAAATGTATTAAAATAAAATGCAGAAGAGAAACAATCTGCAGCAGCAGATCCTGGACCAGCGAGTCCTGGTTGTGACATAAATCTGGATCCGGAGCGATTAAAGATGCTGAGGTTGTTTCTTTAAAAGCTCAAAGTTGATTGGTTCTCTCAGACTGACCTCATCTTCCCAGAAACTCTCCTCTTCTTCCAGTTAAACCAGTTCAGCCCTTCTAAGACCACATTACCCACGATCCTCAGATCTGACTGGTATCGAGCTCTGCTCTCTGATTGGACGCCACTCTGGGACTTTGTATTGGACTGTTACTGACAAGCCCCGCCCCTCTCCCTGCTGTCCGGTCGTGTAAATATCCGTGAAGCGGTCCCTGTAGGTTCTGTGATGTCGTCTCTTTGAGTTCGGAGCGGACGCTCGGCTTCTCTGACGTAATTTTATTTTTTTATTCCTGTCTGCTGACGGTGTCGCTGTAACCGGAGTGTTTTTGAATAAAACCACTGAAACCAAAACCTGATCTGAAGCTTTTTACTCGTCCAGAACTCAGAGGCAGAACCTTTAAAGGAAATGTTCAGTCACATTCAGAATTCAAACTTCTGAAAGTTCTTTAAATCTGAAATGATTCCATCCTGTTCAATAAATGATCAGTGTTTTTAATTCAGAGTAATTTTCATGTGAATGTGCTTTACTGGAGGCATCCATGTTTGTCAAAGAACACTACTGCCACTTACTGGT